CACTATACAAAACAAATGTAAACAGGTAATCGCACTTACTATATAGAACACCTGTAAACAGGTAATCACACTTACTACACATAACACATGTAAACAGGTAATCACACTTACTATATAGAACACCTGTAAACAGGTAATCACACTTACTACACAAAACACATGTAAACAGGTAATCACACTTACTATATATATAAAACACCTGTAAATAGGTAATTACACTTACTACACAAAACACATGTAAACAGGTAATCACACTTACTACACAAAACACATGTAAACAGGTAATCACACTTACTACACAAAACACATGTAAACAGGTAATCACACTTACCATACAGAACATCTATAAACAGGTAATCACACTTACTACACAGAACATCTGTAAATACATGTTATCACACTTACTATACAGAACATCTATAAACAGGTATTCACATTTACTACCAATAACACATGTGAACAGATAATCACACTTACTACACAGAAGGTCTGGAAATACATGTTATCCCATTTACTACATTGAACATCTATAAACATGTATTCACACTTACTACACAACTCCCCTGTTAACACAGATTACACTAATACTTCACAGAACACCTGTAAACAGGAAATCACACTTACTACACAAAACACATGTAAACAGGCAATCACACTTACCATACAGAACATCTATAAACAGGTAATCACACTTACTACACAGAACATCTGGAAATACATGTTATCCCATTTACTACATTGAACATCTATAAACAGGTATTCACACTTACTACACAACACCCCTGTTAACACAGATTACACTAATACTTCACAGAACACCTGTAAACAGGAAATCACACTTACTACATGTATACTGAACACCTGTAAACAGGAATTCACACTTACTACACAAAACACATGTAAACAAGTGATCATACTTACTATACAGAACACCTGTAAGCAGGTTATCACTCTTACTACACAGAACACCTGTAGACAGGTAATCACACCTACTACACAGAACACCTGTAAACAGGTAATCACACTTACTATGAAGAACATCTGTAAACAGTTAATCATTCTTACTACACAAAATACCTGTAAACAAGTTATCACTCTTACTACACAGAACACCTGTAAACAGGTTATCACACTTACTAGACAGAACATCTGTAAATAAGTGATCACACTTACTACACAGAACTCCTGTAAACAGGTTATCACACTTACTATACAGAACATCTGTAAACAGATAATCATTCTAACTAGACAGAACACCTGTAAACAAGTTATCACACTTACTACACAAAACACCTGTAAACAAGTGATCACACTTACTATACAAAACACCTGTAAACAGGTTATCACACTTACTATACAAAACACTGTAAACAAGTGATCACACTTATTACACAGAACACCTGTAAACAGGTTATCACACTTACTATACAGAACATCTGTTAACAGGAAATCACACTTACTACATGTATACTGAACACCTGTAAACAGGAATTCACACTTACTACACAAAACACATGTAAACAAGTGATCACACTTACTATACAAAACACATGCAAACAAGTGATCACACTTACTATACAAAACACATGAAAACAAGTGATCACACTTACTATACAAAACACTGTAAACAGGTTATCACACTTACTATTCAAAATTCCTGAAAACACAGGTTATCACACTTACTATACAGAACACATGCAAACAAGTGATCACACTTACTATACAGAACATCTGTAGACAAGTGATCACACTTACTATACACAACACATGTAAACAGGTAATCTCATTTACTATTCAAAACATGTAAACAAGCCTATCATATATATGGTATCTTACACAGAATACCTGTAGACACTTTCCAATAATTTCTGGACATATTGCCTGTGTACTTACATTTTCTGAACAACCATTGTCGTCTTTGTACTTTGTCTCGATGTAGATTGAAAAGAGTGGCATAAATGAGCACTGCAAGATAACGTAAGTGGATCACATTGCAAGATTTGTTTCATTAGATACTGTAATTGACATTCATCACTCCACCCCAAGAGCAGGAACCTGTAAACTCAATTAAGGCACCTTACTACGTTTGACATCAAAGTCTCTAAATCTCAATGCTAATAAACCCCATTTAATTGGCTTTGAGCATATTAGCTTATCATAACGTATGTTAACAATCACCTGTTCGTAACAGAATGAATTAACAAGTTTTATTTTTACTCTCACGCCACACATATACGTGCGTAACAAGAGGTCACATAATACATAGTATACATTGATGGACATAGTACTCACATAATATAACACATGATACAATTTATACAATAACAACCCATTTCAATAATTCTTTTAGCTAACTTATTTTAGATATTAAGTAGCTTCATTACTCTTTGTATAGATTTACTTACTTTTGTTAAGAGTACCTTGTTACATATTGAGAACATTCCTTTCATTTTGATATAAGTTGGGTTGACATAATAATATTTGGTATATAAAGTTGTCTAAGAGCTACAACAGATACATTAGTACATTGGTAGAAGTAGTGGTATTCGTCCCCAACACAGTTATTACATAGGGGACCTAACCTTTCCTCGCGTGGGACTTTATTCCATCTTCCTGTTTCTATAGGAAATTTTATATTTGATGTTCTAAATTTACATATTACTTTCGTTCATTACGATTTAGCTTTAAAAGATATGGTACAATATTAAACTGAAATTTGAATAAGGAGTAAACTTGCCCTCGCGAGGAGGTTTCAACATCATAAAACCAACTTTGAATGAATTGATTGCATAATCTCTGCTTAATGATATTTTTCAAGCATTGTCTATTAATTGTACAAGATATTTGGAAAGTCCATAAATTATTCAATCCAGTATTGTTTAAAATATCTTGTATATACGTTAACCATTTAAAACTTAATAAAGAATTCTGGTGCAAATTGTACATTAACTGATACTTTACACTAGATAACTTCCATCCACCCGTTATAAGCTTATGCCAGAACAAAACCATTCTAACACTAATTTCAATTTCTAGGGGATACCTTCTTAACTCATCATATACCATATAATTTGGGGTGCTCTTCTGAATGTTAAGAATTTCCTTACAAAACTGTAAATGTATTTTTTCGATACTTTTTGTATTTTCATAACCCCAGATTTCACATCCATATAATAAAATAGGTGACACAAGTGCATCAAATAATTTCATTTGAAGATCTACAGGAATAGAAATATTTCTAATCTTAATATACAATGCATATAAAGCTTTTTTTGCTTGCTCTGTTAGTTTACTTTTGGCTTTTGTAAAAATACCATTGTAGTTTAATATTATTCCAAGATATGTGTACGAATATTGTATTTCTAAAATCTCATTATTTAACCTAAAGTGATGGTCTCTTTTACTTTTACTTTTTTCAAAAATCAAAACTTGAGTTTTTTGGGTATTAACTGTTGATTTCCATATATTAAAATAATTTTGGAATTCATTCAATGCGTTCTGTAGGCCATCTGGTGTTTCTGACAAAAGCACTGTATCATCAGCATATAATATAATGAACAATTTTAAGTACAAACCTAAATTTTGATCACTAAGAAAATACACTTCATTCAAACAAGAAACATTAAATCAGGAAATCCTCTAAATCGTTAAGAAAGAGGGAAAACAAAAATCGCGATAAGTTTTCTCCTTGTTTTACCCCGACATTGCACATGAAAAAGTTGGATGTATCATTACCATTAATTACGCATTATTTGGTATTTTGATATAAATTATAAAGGACTTTAAATATTTTGCCCGTAATGTTGCTATTTTGTAATTTTCTCCACAAGCCTGTTTGCCACACCGTATCAAAGGCCTTTTTAAAATCAACGAATGAACAATATAACTTTTTACCCTTTGAAAAATATAAAAGAAATTAGGGAATGCAATATAAAAATGTTTTCAGTAGTGGAATATCCCTTTCGAAATCCCGCTTGGGCGGAGGATATCAGGTTTATCTTATCAGATAATTTTGTTACTCTTCCATTAATTATAGAGGTAAATACTTTTCGCAAGCATGACACCAGAGTTATCGCCCTATAATTATCCGGATCGCCCTGGTTACCTTTATTTTCGTATATAGGTTTAATAATACCAACTGTCCATTCTTGGGGTATTAATCCAGTGTTGAGAATGATGTTGAAAAAAATCTATATATAAAGGCAAAAACTGATTGAGAGTATTTTTTATATATTCATTCCGTATTTCATCGATTCCGCTCGCTTTATTATTTTTTAAGCTTTCTATCGATCGAATAAATTCCGTTTCGGTAATTGCAGCATTGAGATCTTCAGAGACTTCATCGTTATATAATTATCAATATCTTGTAGAAGTCCTTCATTATTATCTTCCTCATAGTTAGCTGAATTTAATTTTTTTAAATAGTTATATAGTTCGTTTATTGGTATATTAGCTTTTGACGATTTGGGTTTACCCGAAAACCTATTTAGAATATTCCATAGGAATTTCTGACTCTCCTTTACTGATTCTCTTATTTTTTTCTTTTCCATGTTGAATGTATAGGTTTTGTATGCTTTATTTACCTCTTTCCTGTAATTACGACTTTTCCTTTTCAAGGCGTGCTTGTTAATATCATTTTTTAGTTTACAATAGTTCTGTTTGACTTTGTGAAATTCTTTTCGAAGCTTTTTACAATTTGATGTAAACCATGGTTTGTTATTTTCATGAATGTTTCGGTGGTAAACAGATTTGCGACCGAATGACTGTTTGGCGGACGTAGTAAATATATCTGTGATATTCTTAGTTACATCATTAATTTCTGCATTAGTTATTTGGTCGGTTTCCTTAGCTTTCAAATTTTTAACATACTCGTTCAGCGTAGCAAGTCTATTACTGGGTATCATGATCATCTGCAATAAGATTAGTAAACAAATTACTTAATTGATCCTTCCATTTCACGTAACCACCGTTTTTGTCGGTTGCATAAGGATTTTTGTATAGAGTATGTATGAGTACAGACACCCCTTCGAACTTAAATTCAATACAACTATGAACATCGGATAATAGTGGATTAAAATCAACAACCTCAAATTATGTTACTACTTTGAATAAGTCGGCAGTAAGTAACAAATAATCAATAAGAGACGAGCCATTACCATTTGCTATATATAGTCCTTAATGGTTCGGGTCAACTTGATATTTCACACTTGTCTGATACGGCGGCTAATAAACGACAAGGACATTACTAGATTCCCCAGCAGTCAAACAATACTAGACGGTCACAAATCAGAGGTATAGCAATTGCAAATATCATATAATTTTTATGTGATTTTTGGAGTAATAGTTGGAGACAAAACAAAAACATGCAGTTACNTTACGAGATATCACTGATGGTTGTTGCGACACACAGATGTGTGTGTGTGTGGTCGTGTGTAAAGGGGCGGGGCGTAGTATGGTAATACACAGTGGCCTGAGTGGCCCGTGTACCACGGGTAGTGCGTGATTTACCTGAGGTTTCAGGTGAGCTGTACAAGGTGTACAGGTGTAGTGTCATTCGAGCTGTGGCAGCCAGTGTATACGCTTGTGAAGAAAGATTTTTGCTGTCTGAGTATGAGTGATGGAGAAGAGGACCCCCATACGGTCAATTCTGGTGCGGGTCGGGGCTCAACTCCTCCCGACGGTACCAGTACTGCTGGGGGCGACGCTATTGGGGCGTTTTCGCTGTTCAGGACGTACCTGGACAGTAAGTTAAACAGTCTGAAGGCAGAAATGTTCGTCGGGGACACTGAGCAAAGGAAGGCCAAGTCAGATAAGTCTGTTAAATTCAAGTCACCAGGAAACAAGGTACAGTTTCAGTTTAATGAGGAACTGGAGACGGACGTGGGCAGGCTCCAACGTAAATTAGATAATCGTGATTTGGACGGGTGTGTCGAGTTGGCGGCAGACCTGAAACGTAAAATATACAAACGTAATAAATTGATCCGCTTGGCGGATAAGTCACCAGCTGGGTGGCAGACTGTAAAGGAATATATTTCGGACGATTTGGCGTCTGACAGTGAGGATGAGAAAAGGATCCGTCAGGCAGAGAACAGGGCCCTCAGGAGTATCAAACAGAAGAATGAATCTCGGAAGCGGATTTCTACTGCTGCTTTCAATCTTGGTAGCAATTCCGGTGCACGTAACGGTTCCATGGATACCAGCAGCCTCGGGTTCAGCACCTTTTCGGGGGTCCTACAGAGTCAACGTTCCCCGCACCGCAGGCCCTGCAGACCAGTGCTTTCATGTGGTGGATTCGGGCATTGGCGGAGGGACTGTGGGAAATACAGGCAGGGCGGGGCCCGTCATCAACAACAGCAGCAGCAGCCAGGGGGTTCAAAATGAGGACGGCAATCCGGGCATACATGATAAGTATTCTTCTCCTTCCCTGTATGACATTAAGGAGCTGAGCGCACACAAACAGTTCTTTGAATATAAAAGTAACAGCTCTGTTTCATCTGTTAAAGGTAGATTAAAACTCCATATACAGTTCTGGAAGGATATGCATGCACCTGAAAATATTGTTAGTACAATTGAAAAAGGCTATGTAATACCTTTCATTTCGACACCTCCCAGAATGTATTCTAATGATAATAAATCAGCATTGTCGGAGGCGGAGTTTGTCACGCAGGCTATTGATGATTTGGTGGCTAATAGGTGTGTCATAACGGTACCTTTTGTGCCGCATGTAGTCAATCCATTGAGTGTGGCGGTCAGTAGTTCTGGTAAGAAAAGGCTCATCTTAGATCTTAGACAGGGGAATGTGCATGTCTGGAAAGCAAAGGTTAAGTTTGAGGATTGGAAGGTCGCATTAGACTATTTTGAACGTGGGTGTTTTATGTTTAAGTTTGATCTGAAATCAGGATATCATCACATAGATATTTCCAGCGGTCAACAATCTTTTCTTGGATTTTTCTGGAAGGGGCAGT